TGAGATCAGCATCCCCATAACCACGGCGCTCGCTGCCTCCAACAGCTGCATGAACCCCGTCCTCTACGTCTTCATGGGCCAGGACTTTAAGAAGTTTAAGGTCACCATCCTCTCCAGGTTGGTGAATGCCCTCAGTGAGGAGACAGGCCACTCCAGCATCGTTCACAGGAGCTTCTCCAAGATGTCTTCAATGACCGAGAAGGAGACGACAGTCCTCTAAACTCAACCTGGACGCCTGCAGGAGGCCCATAGTCCTCCGATGTTGCCCATGTTCACCTCTGGGATGGTGATCCCTCTTGCGGTGGCCCCTGGTGTGGGACAAGCATGGTCCAACGCTGTCATATAGCGTATTCTTTGACTGGTCTTGCTGCCTGGGGTCTGGCAGGCGTTGGAGACCACAGCTCCAAGCACCTGGAGAAGAAACAACTGCCCTTAACCTTTCTTTGCGATTGCAAAGATGGTTGCACCAAACTGTTTAAGACAACATTTCAGGCCGTTCCTGTCTAATCTATGCATTGCCTGGCCTGGCAAGGGCGTTCCTGCCATTTCCAGAGACATTGTTATGGGGAGATTGGGTGGAGGATGCGTCTGGGAAGGCACCTCTGTTGATGGGTTCCTGAGATGGGTGGCTGGGTGGGCACCAGCCGCGGATGATACCTGCTACAGCAAAACTGGTGACACTCTTCCTATGTGCTATGTATGCATAGAGCTACTCAAGTTAAAGTCCTGAAGTATATCGGTACGAGCGCAATATGGTTTTAACTATGTTGTGGGCACTTTGTACCCAGAGAGGCCACGGGAAGTGTCTTCATAAGAGAGATTTGAATATCCCAACCGCCATGAACAGGGAAATCTCACGTGTCTTCTAAGTGCTCCAGACCCAGGGGTGGGGATTGGGCTTGTGTACAGGGTCGCCGATGTGGAAAACTGGGAGAAAAACAAGGGAAAGGTTTAGCTGAATTCTTTGGAACAAACCCCACTTCAACGGACACGTTTCACCCGGTACATTTTGCAGAGAGGTTTGTGGCCTGGGGCCGTGAGTCCCAGTGGCTCCCTGCGGCGAGCAGGTCTGTGGGCTGAGGAGTGCGGTCCTGAGGGAGGACCTGCTGTCCCCTCCTGGATCCAGGTGGACCTAGGGACTGGCTCCGCTGATGTGGATCCCTGGTGTGATCAACTGGTCTTGCAGGAAGATTTTGTCTCTTCCTGACCAGGCAGCAAGCCCATCGCTGGTGGGAGCCTCCGCTGCCACACACAAATCTCTACGGTGAAGGATGGGCTGAGCCACTGTCTCTATCCAATTTCATGCACAGTTAATTTGGGAGATCCTTCACCGTTTGGGCTTCTTGACCATGACACTGGTGTCACGCTTATTTATGTGTTGGTTTCTCCGTGTCACCCACAGCCTCTTGCTCCCAGGAAAGCGAGTAATGATCGAGTCTTCCACGCACGCTGGGTGCCGGAGTAGAGCTGGTCCCTGGAGCTGGGTTTGGACAGCCCCCAGTGATACCAGGGACATTTCAGCGGGTCGCTGGGGGTCCCAGCCCATGCGATGCCCAGGGGAGCTTTGTGCAGGGGCCAGTGGACTGGCAATGGAGCGTCTGCTCACAGGTGCCCACCAAGGCTGAGATACTTATTTATAGCTTTTTGTTAAAAAAACACAAAATGCGGAAAAAAAAGTGAAGAGGCAGCTCCCAGGAAGAGACATGGAGCTCTTTGCAGGCTCCCGTCAGCAGCAGATAAACCGAATCACAAAGCCCCAGGAACTGAGCTGCAGCCCTGAGCTGCGGGAACACCGCAGATAATCGCCGATGCTGCGGCAGGAGCGGGATTGCAGGTTATGGGGCGTCCCCTCCGCCCCCAGCGCTGCCTTCCTGCTCTCCCTTGATCTGCATAACCTCGTTAGCATCGACGTGATGGGGAGGATGGGGATGCTGAAGGATCCGGCGTGTTTGGCTGCGGTTTTGGTGCTGCTGGATGGTGTGTGATGGGACACGTTTGTCCCCCACACCGGGGCAGGGAGGTGCCCGTCCTCACCAGTGTGGTGGGCGATGCTGCAGACCCACTCTGCTAAAAGTGGGGTGCAGAAGGGTGGGGGATTTATCCTAAAAACAAAGGGTGGCCAGCCTGAGCCCGGAAGGGGAACGCAGTGGGAGGATGGGGATTGTAAGGGAAATTAATGTCAGATTGGTGACTGCCACCTGTTGGGTGCTGCTGTCAATAACATGGGGTGGCCACAGGGCACCCAGCACCCAACCAAGCATGGCCATGGCGGGGTGCCCATGGCTCTCGCAGGCATCTCTGCAATTTCTAGGGGCTGGGAACCGGCAGGCTCAGCAGTGCTGGCCACTACCCCGGGGAGCAATGCCCCATCCTTGGGCTGCACCATGTGCCGTGGTCAAGCCCAGGGCTGCTC